CAGGAGATGCGACAAGAGTAGTATCGTCATGAAAGGCTCTCAAGCGACAGTCGTAAAAGATCGATACAAGTTACAACGGCTTGCGGAACGCGAAACGATGGAAGTTGCCGAGAAGTATCAAATTCCAACAGTCTGCAATGTTTACCTTTTGCCAGAGGCTTGGGATCTGTGTATTCGCAATCAGTCACTCCATCTCCATCAAGGAGCCCTTTCCGTTGTGCTGAAAGCCTCGATTTTCGCTCCCTATGTACTGAGGAACGAGCGGAGGCGGAGGCGGATTTGAAGGATCTTTGCTTCGAATGTCAGAAGGACGTTGGTCTTGGCCTTTTCAAAGCCAAGTTATCCAACTTAATCGACATCTCCTAGATGATTAAGTCTTTGGCGAAAATTTGATCAGTCGCAGAAGCTGAGAGCCGAGGCTTTCTAGAAAGGTGCAAACGGAATTCCACTCCCACAATTAACGAGGCGAGTCGCGAGGCTGAGTTTGTGAAGGATGTTTTAATCAGGTCGAGGATTGCGCGAATCTGGGACTTGAGGAGGCCCAGCAGCAAGGTGTGTGAATTGCAGGCCAATAGACGAAAACGAGGAGTTAGTCTCCACAAACTGCAAAAGAATTAGCAGCAGCAGTTTCAGTCGACGCTGTCAGAACTGTAACAAAAATTGGACCGTGGCGAAGAGTTGATAACGAGTCGAGAGCCGGAGCTGGAAAGCCTGATTATTTATCGATAAACACTACTTGGAGAGATTGTCTGCTTGAAAACAGGGTGGAGGAAGTAGCAAATAGACCGACCTCTCGATTACCGAATCATACTTTACATGAAACGATTTGTGCATGCTGTAATGGCTAGTTTGTAAAAACAGAACATGACACAAGAGCTAGATCTAGGAAGTAAGAATAGCGCCATCATCGATCATCCCTGAAATCAAAGTAACACAGCACCGAAACCAACGAACGAAAAGTATTATGGGAAAAAATTCTGACATGACAATCACAACGGCAGCAACTTGATTTGAACAAGTGGCCTCGAGACTTTTCGAGCATCGCAAATACTACGGTCAGCCCCGCGCGCTGCCAAACTGCGCCATGCTGCTGTACTACAAGTAACTTGGACTGTCAAACAAATGGAGAGGGGGAAGGATCGAATGGCCAGTAACTACATATTGGGTTTTGGATAACTTGATATCTTCAGATGGTTCATAAATAAACTTTTATGTAAATAGGTTGCTAAGCTTTGACAGCTGAGAAAAATCACCCTTTCAACATTAGCGACACTCCAATTTGGATAAGCTCAGGCCCGAAGCACAGCACGCTGCGCGCTTATGTACACTGCGTCATGCTGTTTGTAACATGACGCTCATCAAGAACACCATCAGACATTGAAACAGCACACAAGGCAAACGCAGGCCGACGTGCACACAAAGAAATCTGATGAGACGGGACAGGATTGATAGCAAGAGAAGGAGAGGTTGATTGATGATTGGTGGGTGTACATCGAGGTTTGAGAGAAAGAGAAAGAGAACGATGTAAGGGATTGGAGGTGCCATTGACGTTGGCCGTTGAGATGCTAACTAACAGAGCAGAATTGGAATTCGACTTCAGTTCATTGGTTCAATCAAAGGTCCCGGTCGGCCCGGCTTGCACAGGTGTATCAGAAGCAATGTTATACAACAAAAATCAGACAGCTGAGTTCACAACAGTCAAGAGTATGCTGTGTACAGGGCTATAAAGTCAAAACGTCGATTGATGATCAACCTGGCAACTCCAACGTAAATCCATGGGACGACTTAGGAGGTTTGTTACTCCATGGGCTGAATTAGTCTTGTGCTGATAGTCAATAGTCTGCTCTTCTCCCGACGAAGGACTAGCCACAATGTTCTTGCACCGTCTGTCATCCCAGAAAACGAGCTCGAAAAAGAAGACACGCTTTTGGAAGTACAGTGGAACGACGCCTTCCAAAAGAGCTTGCATGATTTCCAGCTCAAGTTTGAAAACGAGGAGACGGCCCGGTCAGTGGGAGAGCGTGGACGACTGAACGAATTTGATCGTGCTATGACGAATTTTGATGATATTTTCCTGAGAAATCACCGCCGGCGACAAGAACTGTACGAGAAAACTGACGCACTACAAGAAGAGAGATTTCAAAAGGCTGATGCTGCACGAGAGATCCACTTCGTCCAGGGACAGCAAGATCGTGCACGCGTTTTCGAATTAGAGCAGACGATGCGTGGGAAGCGAGTGGAGTGGTATAGTACAATACGAAAGGGACTCTTCAGCGACGATCGTCAGCGATTGGCAGAAAAATACAATGCTCTCAACGCTGCTTTGGTGGAACAATTCGACAGAGTCATGGAAAGGCAGGAAGAAATGGGGGAAGTTGCCAAGGAACGGTCGAACCACCAGGACACGGTGAGCTTTAGAGACGATCATTATCCAAATTCTAATGGTATATTATACTTAGCCTATACCGGTACCTCCTGATGGTAGCTTGGGGCCTTCGAATTCGCCATCGTTTATTTCATTGATAAGGATCCCTCCCCCACATGAAAATATTTTAGCCGAATCTAATGGACGGGTTATACTGGTTCCTCCATCCCCATCTCCATCGATAAGCAGTTCATTTTGGGATGATGAGAGCCTCAACTCCTTGACGGAACCGACGTCTCCTGGTTCTAATGAAAAACAGAAGCAAGAAGAGAACATTGAATCAGATGGGGTTGAAGGAGACAAACTCCCACTTTATTTTCGATGCTCTCAAAAGCAGCGGCAACAAACATTCTTGCAGGATGAAAGCGGAAGAGATCGCCGGTTTTGTGCATCGGAATCCGCACGGAACACTGTGGAATGGGAACGCAGCACTATCTTCGATCACAAAATGACCCAGTGGTCGACAAAATCACAGATAGAGCAGATCCGTGGCCGGGAAGAAGAACGCTTTAAGAGCGAGATTCGGCGATCCGTTGCTTTTCAGAATGCTGAATATCAGCATTGGACGGTGTTCGAAATGTCGATGACGGATATTATGGATCAAGCGTATGCGGAGGAGGATTTAGAAGAGATTCACTTCAAACGTCAGGAGGATATGCTCCTGGCGTTGTACGAACGCCAAGCCAATCAACTCAATCAACGAACTGAAGATCAAATTATTTCGTTCAAGTTCATGCGGGACAGGAATCGCTTTTCATGGGTAGATACAAACCTTTCCCACTTGTGACGCATCCAAATTACTCAACGTATTACAGGTAGTATCTGGTGCTTCGAGTAGGATTTCTATGGCGTACCCTCCTACGCCCCAGTAGTGGGTGTTGTCACAGACACTTTCATGTGTAGCTTACTGAAACTTCAGCTTGTCAGTAGGGAGCCTGATACAGGTTTTGTTAGTCTTTTGAGCCATTCGTTGTAGCCTTTTTCAGAGACACTGAATGCAGGCACAGGCAGCACGTGCGATCTTCAAAGGTCCATTCATCCACAAAGCACTTCCGACACCCAAGGTTACAAATATGCCCAAACGGAAAATGCAGGAGATGTTCGAGTCTTCGCAGGGACTGAGAGCCGAAGCCTTTCAAAAAGGTGCAGAAAAACGGGAGTACACTTTCGCAATCAACGAGGCAAAACGGGAGGCCGAGTTTGTGAAGGTTCAGCAGAAACGCAAGGAACTCTTTCACGAGGCTGAGGATACGCGCGATTCTGAATTCCGGAAGGCCCAGCAGCAACGTGAATCCGAATTTCAGGCCAATGAAGGAAAACGAGAAGACGATTTCCAGAAAAAAGAAGTAGAAAGAAACGACCGAGCGAGAGAGGAGCGAGAGAAGCGGACGCAGGAGTTTCAGTCGACGATGTCCAGACTGCAACAGCAGTTCATTGATGCCGATGAGGAGCGTCTGAAGGAGTTGGAACTTTTGGGGGAGGCGTTGTTCACGAGTAGAGAGCAAGGACAGTCATTGAATCTTCGCAAGATTCCTCATCGAAGTTTTCGTCGCTTGGCACCACCGCGAGCGAGAAGGATATTTATTTGAACAGAGTAACTTGTTGTATACTAGAATGATCATCGATCCAAGATGCTTCACCAGGAACATATCAGGCATTGGGTCACAGAACTTTGTATTACTCGTCATTTACTTGACCAGAGGACATGGCAATAGTGCGTCGAACGGTAGGACAAATGTCTATGATGATGATGATGATGATGATGATGGTGCTTTTTATTTATGAAGACCTATTTTTTACGCGATATACATCATGGGCATTGTGTCCTAGGTCCCGCAGTATAGTAAGGTCCGGTAATTAGCCGTATTAAAGTCCCAACTTATCTGCCGCTATCGTGCCATCCCCATTTCTGTTAACCCTTTTACTCTCAGCAATGCTTGCCGGTGGATGGTTGGTAATCGCCATGACGCAATTCGC